TTTAATTAGCTCTCGTTTGATGTTACAGTGAACCACAAATTTTTGTGAAATTTAGCATGCATTGGCCCATATGCTATACTGAGCTCTGTTTTGATTATGAAATGCATGACCCACCTATAAGGAATCTTTAAAAGATTCAGTGATGTGGAAAGACTAGGTACCCTCCTGATATTACAATATTGAATACAGCTTAGTGGATGTAGCATGCAAGGTTTCAGACGACAACACCACACAGGTTTGTTGCTGAGCCGAGGTGTCTTCGACGAGTACAGGACGTTTTGCCCTGTTGCGGTTTCGAGTTTCCAGTTGGTCGTCGACCCACAAACTAAGGTAAATCGACAGTTCCTTTGTAACTAAAAAAGTTCCAATCTTTTTTTTTTTCGCTTAAATTTACAGTAATACCATCAGAAACGTACTACGTTTCTAGTAGAGGAAAGCTTGTTATTGTATGGCTGCTAGGTTGAAATTCCGTTTAGAGCAAATTGTGCTTTTGACTGGACAAAACAAGAACTGATACATATTTCAATTCGTTACGACGACCATAAAGGTTACAAAACATCCCTGCTTCACTTTGCCGAAGTTACTTGAGACGTTTACTGAAAACAAGACCAGCTAAGTCGCCTCTTGGTGAAGAAAAATAAGGAACAATTTGCGCGTTTAATTATATCGTAACAGTTTTCGGAAACTGTAGTTAAATGAATTAGAGGTAAATTTGGTTTTTTCTTAACTACGTTCTTGGCAAGACGAAATCCTCTTTCTGTTGAAGAACCGAGCTTAAATCGTCTAATACAGAACTCTTTTAATCTATCTGGTTGCGTTTAAACTACAGGATCATGGACTCAACTGTTCGGATTCTGTAATGAATAAAATCTAATTTACAGAAAATTTAGTTATCCTTTTAACTCACATACACTTTTAGAAAATTCTTCATCCATTCATTAATTAATTATCGTCAAGTATTTCCGTGAGACCACGCACTTCATCAGAACAATGTGTTCCAATTAGCCACAGATTGATCGCCAGGTAATTGCTTCATTATAAAGGAACCTCTTTCTTGTTTTTTATATTACATTAAAAGATTCTCAGCTAAGTGATGAACTGTTGAGGAATTAAAGGGGCTACAACCATGCCAATACAAAATATGATTCGTGTGCGAGAGATATGTAAACAACAGTTATTTTGGGTAAAGTGCTCTCACGTTCTCTAGTTCGGATTCATTCAACTTTGGGGTGTTAGTAAAGCGACTCATAGACGGCAATACTTTAAATAAATGATTTGCAAACTTCTAATACAATTTTACGCTAAAAAGTGAATTTTCTATAGTTGTAGAATTGACCAGACTTTACCCCGATGCCTTAAATCCATCAGCCGATTGCAGAATACGCGAAGAAACAATATGTCAAATTCCGAAAATGACACTTGCAAGTATACTTTTGAATAAAATTAACATTTTCAAATTAATTCCGCATCAAATGAAACCACGTTAAAATACTCATTTTTTTTACTTTTTAGCTAATTAAACGCCTAAAAGTTTCTTTTTCCAATTTACTAGGGACAAAAACACACGGGTTTTTTCAATAACTGTTCAGTATCGATCAGTCATTCGAAAAAAATTTTCGGCAGCTTGGACAGTTTTCCGAATTTTTTCACACGACACTTGTTGAGCTGATGTGAATTTGCTAATCTATTCATAAAAATGTTTAAACTGAAAAAAAAAATCGTTTCCCGATGTAAATGTCAAAAATGATCACAGTAAAAAAGCAAGACGATAGCTTTATCGGTGTTCATAAAAAGTTCTGACAAACTTCATTGTAGCTCTGTAACGTTTAATTATTTAATTTTAAGTTTCAACTATTGTTGTTAGAAAAAGCTAAAATCGTGTTGAGGACAGAATTCCAGAACATTCGTCGCACGAAACATTTGAGTCATTAACAGATATTGAGCAACAAAACATTCAGTTGCTTTTGTCTCGTCTGGTTGGAGTTGTTGCTGAGAAACCAAAAAAAAAAAAAAGGAGAAAACTCCGACACTTTATGAAAAAACATTTGATCCTTAGCTTTGAATCATATCTTCTTATACGTGAATACGAAATACTAACGGAGAGGTTCACATAACGTTTTTCTTTTGTATAAAGTTAATGCTGTTGTATGGCATTGTTCCACCATTTGGAAGGTTAATGTGCACAGAATAGCATAATCTTAATGCAAGAGGGTTAACTTTCCTCCAGCAAGGCCAAAACGCCTAAAACTTCCTCAACTGGAAAGATGTTGGCTCTTCCGAGGTAAAAAAGTTCTGTAAAACTTTTTAAATCAAAGCTGGTTGCTTACCAACCATTCATATGGCGCCTTTGGCGAATTCCACGGAATTTTCAATCAAGTATTTTAAGCCTCTTAATATTGCCGAATTATATTGGGATGGATATTTAATTTCCGTTTTGAATTTATTTTAGCAGCTATCGACAGAAAGCCTGGTTAGGTAACATTTTCTCCAAACATGCTTACACTTACTTGTTCTTCTGAGAGTGTCACCTTAAACTCATGTCAGTACAGCTCCTGTAAACAGGTCAACCACTCACATTATAAGCTAAAGAATTCCACCAAAAATGGTTGACATGGAAACAGATATTGTAAATTGTTTT